CGGAGGGAGGGGCCGCGCCAGCCGCTCGCTGGCGAGGTCGGGGTTCACTCCGCCGCGGGCCGCGTCCTGCAGGCGCTCACAGGAGCCCAGCAGCGCCATGGCGGGGCCGGGCCGCTCTGCGGGGGGACGGCGCTCCTTAGGTGTTGGCATCTCTTCAATCGGCTGCCTGTGGTGCCTCGCTTCACCTCACGGCCTTGGGGTTTAGGGCGGTGATGGAGCTTTCGTGCCGGGCTGATCCGGGGCAGGGCCTCCCTGCCTTGGCACAGGGCAGCTTTCTGCAGGTATCGCAGAAAGAGAGCGCCGCGGTGTGCAAAAAGAGCTGGACGTGAACTTTGCTCGCAGAAGGGCATGCCAGGTTAAAAAAAAAAAAAAGGATTTGCATGAGAGTTTGAGCACTGTCTTGTCTTCACTGCAACACTATGGCATATGAAAGTTCAGTGTACTCTAACGGCTCAAAATGGACATTTTAGGATTTCTTTATTGCATAAAAGCTGCCTTTTCTTCACTTATACCAGTCTGTCAGTTCCCAATATTTTGTAAGAAGAAATTATTTGCACATCCTCCAATTAGACATTCATGTCCGTGAGGGCTTTTAAGTCTTGCCAGTTTAGCAGCCCGGGTTTGCCTGCCCTGATGTCAGGTCGCGGGCGCTGACCCGGTCGCGCTCGGCAGCTCCTTCCTGTGCTGCTCCACAGTGTCCCGCTTCCCGCGGGGCTGTTTTGCATTAACCTCTAGCGATTTGTTCCCAGTTCCTGCTGTTCTGATGTTCAGACCTCGACTTAGGGTAGGCGTCCTGCTGCCTGGGCAGCGAAGGGGGGTTCCAGCCGGCGCTCTGAGGGAACAGCAGCAGCCCCGGCCTGCTCGCGCCGTGCGGAGGGGAGGCCGGGCGCGCGGCGCTGGCAGCTCGGCCTGCGACGGCCTGTGGCGCCAGCGCCAAGGCCACGCACCTCGTCTCGGGAACCCGGTGTCCTCCGCGTTGGAAAAATGCTGCTTTTCTGACCCGGCTTTAGGCTCCGCGCGTTGCAGTTTCAGCTGTTGCCCGCTCAGTTTGAGTGCTGGACAGTGTGTGTGACCTGCATGTGTGGGGAACATCCTGCTCTGATCTTCCTTTTTATCATCTGTTTGGCCTGAGTGACTCTGCTTGTTTTATCACAGCTTAGATGTGCTCTTTGGTGTTGCTAAAACTCTTAAAATGTTTAAAAATAATAAAGTGGACTCACTAGTGTAGGGTTTATATTCCCGTTCAAAACTGATTTTTCAAATTAATCCAAGTGCAGGGTGGTCCTTTGGCTTTGTTTTGCTTTGCTCTGCTTGGCAGGTGGGCCTGTTTCGCCAGGAAGAAGTTTAGCATACACAGAGTGTCAGTGGATAACTTCCATGCACAGCACCCGATCCTGCTTTTTTGTGTCCTAAAATTTTCAGCCAATTGAGATGGAGATTGTAAATGAGCAAAAGATGCAGCACTGAGCACAGGAAAGGAAAACGTTTGTTGATGAGTAAGTTAACACAGTACTAATGAACGAGTCACTGTCAAGCTTCAGTGATTTTTATTTTTAATAATTTCATTTGGCTTGTTGTCTGCTTACATCCTTGGAGCTTTTTATTTTTTCAATTCCTTGTGGAAAAGAGCAAAATATACAATCATCACATAGTTTATTTCCTCAGAAGGGTGTGCATTAAACAGTGTGAGCAGTGACAGTCGATTGAGTACAGTGTGAAATATATATAGTTTTATAAGTATAAACACAAACACAGAATATAGGATATCTATCACATAGGCAATATTTGCAGTGCAAAAAATGTCTTACAGCAATACCTTGAGAGTCTATATCTTTTGGACAACATCACATTTCTTTAGGGAAGTGGTTTAGGGACATAGGGAGATAGACCCAAAATTCAAGAATTAATTTAACAGAAAACAGCATACAAAGATTTTCCCAGATCTCTTCCTATTAATGCCAACACTGATCATTTTTTCATTCAGATTAAATTGTTTGTTGCTCAAGTCAAATACTTTTCAGCAGCATTGCAGCCACAGATGCTGCCCACGCAAAGAGTGTCCAGTGAAGGTTTTATGGACCCTTGGTGTAAGTCCAGCAAAGAGTCCAGCAAAGGAGGCAGTTTTCAGTTTATGAAGGTGAGAACGTGCTTGAAAACGATGTGATTTTTAAGTGAACACTGCAGCAGTAAAAGAGTCATCTCCATGTTGGTCCTGTTCAACACAGCGTGAGCTGGTAACACTGATTTCACTGGTGAGTAGCAGATTGTTTTTTCTGGGCTTAATTTAATCTGTGGCAAAACTATAGGTTCTAGGGTTTTGTTGTTGTTTTGAGCTCTTTGATGAAAATCATTTAATCTGTGCTACAACTCCTCGCAAAAGCCCAGCTCAGTAAGTTCTGGTTTGTTATTGAAATTTGTTATTTATGGGGCACTGTATAATGTTCTCTACAGCCATATAAAAGCATTTTTAGCAACACCTTTTTTTCATGGAGAGATTTGGCTTCCCCTGCTCCATCCCAAGAGAAGGAAATGTTGCTTCTTCGTTGTGGGCTCTTAAGCTACCTGAAAAGTCATGCAGTCGGAAAGGGTGTAATAGCTCGTTTCAGATTTTGATTGACCCATAGTGACTGCGTGCACTGGATTTCTGAAACAAAAACCTGTTTAGATGAAGCATGATGAGTGTGGGGCTAAAAACTACCCCGGAGTTAGTGCTATGAGGTGGAGCTCGAGACCTGAAACTAGGCTAAGGGCTCCTGTAATCTCAGACCAGCCTTGCAGCCACATAGCTGCATCACTGGACTTGACGCTTGCTGGGGTAGCTCAGATGTTTTCCTCCAGCTGACAGGCTGAGCAAGAGTCCTTTGAGATGAAATACCCTGCTGGACTGGAGGGGACTAGGGAGTAGATTAATAAGTTCTTAATTAACAAAGATGTGGTAAATGCCCAGTTTTCCCTTTATTTATAGATGGATTTCCTGCAGAGGGGGATAGTGGATGCTGCTTGATCAGCTATTACCTTCCCAGCTGACTGAGTCCATTGAGTTTCACTGTCCAAGAACCAGTTTTCAAAGGCAGTAGGTGAGTTACGCTGTCTAACTTTATAGGAGGGCTGATGTGAGAAGCAAGAAGATGAGCTATTCCTGAAGGAGACGTTTTAGCTCTAAATGAGGGCACCCTCAAGGCACAGGTGCTTTTGAAGAAAGAGTCCAGGAGTTTTGCAGATTTCTACTCAGGCGCCCCATAAACTTGGTAGCCTCTGACCATAAGTGGTGCAAAGGCACCATCTCCCCCCAGCTTTTTAATTTTAACTTTGCAAAGCGGCAGCTGAAATGAAGCAGCTCTGACCTGTGGGAAAGGAGAAAAGAAGCACTGTGCACTGTTCTGCAGCAGTGTCTATAGCTCCTGCAGCCCTGGCGCATGCAGGTGTCAGCTGGGCTCCAGGGCTGGGCACAGAGGCTGCAGCAGAGTGCTGTGACGTTGCCACCCCCTGGGCACTGAGGGTTTTTCCCTGGGTTGCTAAGGTAGCACGTGCCCAGCTGCTGGGTGAGGGACTGACGCTCAGTAGTCCAGGGGCAAGAGGCCGTTCACCTCTGTGCCGCTCCGACCTTTGCCGGCTGCAGAGATCTGCCAGCGCCATGAACACCCACACTGGAAACACCAGCCTTTGCTCTGCGCACGTAGCACTTTCCTCCTACTTGGAGCACTCGTGGAATAGTCCTGTGTATTCTCTGCCCATGGAACTGGCTCAATTGCTATATTCAAACAGGTTTGAAACGCAGTTTGACTGATGCTGCTGAAGAACAGTTGCACCTTTCTGCCAGTGCTGGATGTCTGTAGGGACGCAGATGCTGATTTTTCTAACAGTTTAATAGTAGAGTTGTGCTGCTGAGATGCACAATATCCGTGAGGTTGACTTGCATAGTGGTACAATACCTGTAACCCATGGGAAAGCCATTGTGGTCACTGTGGTTGTTCTCAATAATAAGCAGATTTTGGTTGTAATGCAAAGGCTTCCACAAAGTTCCCCAGGGCTGCAGCCACCTTCCTGCTACCCCGTGCTCGGTGAGCCTGCCTCTGGGCTCGTGTGGCAATGCTCAACTCTCCACAGGCTTCTCAGGCTTAAACATTCACTGTGTCCCAAGGGTCAACCCAGAGTTAGCTGGAGGTTAGTGTCCACCCACAATCTGGGGGGAAAAGTGACATCATTTCTCTCTGCAGCTTCTCGTGTGAGTACTTCTAGTGAATACTGCACCTTTTCCATTACGATACCCTCCTGGGATGGGAAAACCTTTTTTATGCATTCTACTGGAGCAAGCATTAATAACAGTAAAGAGCCCCAAAGATGCAGCTGTGAGCGTTCACCATGTACACAGATGTCAGCGTGTGCGTGTTAGTGCCATCCTTGGTATGATCCCTTTTGAGTTTTGGCAGGAGCTATGCTGCTTTCTCTTCCCCACTCACTGTCGATGTTCTCCTCAGGTTTTCTTTGACTTTAATGAATTCTGGTGCATGGTCTTCCTGCTTCTCTTGTTCTTTCTCCAGCTGAAATGCAAACAGTCATCATTATCTGTACCCACTCAAGGATAAAACTGCAATTCATTAGCTACATTCAAATGGTTGGTTTCATTAGTGCTCAGGGTCCAGTTATTATTATTGCCCAGAACTGAATGACTCTGTAGGTCACATGTTGACTCACGCTCTTTTTCACCCTTAGTTTTCCTGGCTCACTGAAATGTTTGTTCTTTTCTCCAGGGGAAAAGGTGGAGAGTGCTCCTCACTCCCAACTGGCATGGAAGAAGGAGGAGGAGCTTTGAATCCCTCCAAAGGGGGGCTGTGAATCCCTCCAAAGGGGGCCTGTGAGCCAGGGAAATGCTCTTACCACTGGATTATCATATACAGGTTGTACTGCTGCTCTTCTGTCCCTCAGTTTCATATATCTGATTTTTCAGTGTTGGACTTTTGCATGTGGTCTTGGCTTGCTTGATATCATTGCAAGACATCTCCTGTGCTATTAAATAAAGCCATTTTATCCATTTTAAGCACAAATACTGCTGAATGGGACAGGGAATTACTCTATTTCCAAAAGAAGCAAGTTAACTTGGCCACCCTGCATGTCACCCTGTGTCCCTGCTTGTCGGCCTGCTGGCCTGCTCTGGCCGAGGCACCATTCCCCTGGCAGTGCCCCAGGATGGGTTTAGCTTGTTTGCATGTTGAGAGCTACAGTCTGTGGCTTTCATTTTATGCAGGGGCAGCAAAGTCAGGCTTTGAGTTGAGCCCTGCTGTATCCATCTCTACCCATCTGCTCTCAGCTCTGTGCCTTGCACGGGGGTTTGGTAACCTGGGGATGCCTAAAAACTTGATTCTACCTGATCCAGCCTCTGGTGCCTCTTTAATAACTCTTTTTCAAAAGGTGACTGCAATTTCTTTGCCTCTTCCTCTTCCTTCTTCTGCCTGACGAGCTGGTTTCGCCGCCGGTGCTCCAGCACCCGCTGCAGCTCCGGCTTGCTCTCCACGCCCAGGCCTCTGTGGATAAAAAGCAGATGTGTCAGGGCCGGAGCACCATCACCCTGCTGCTCAGCCACCAAAAATCTGTCCCCAACCCGAAATGCAAACATGGAGATCAGGGCCACAAATCCATCTGGAAGGATTTGAGCATTTTATGGGGAGCACCTTAGTGCCGGGGCCTGTGCCTCAGGCAACCACGGCGGCTGCCCTTAGGTGTGGGGAGATTTGTGAGCCCTGTTTTACTGTCCTTCTGCTGTGGCAATGGAAATGCCATTACTAGTTTTAATGATTTCAGCAGCAGCTTCAGCCACATTTAGGGAATTTTTGTTTTCCACCAGCAGGGGTAGTCATTGAACTGCAGTAATTGTCCTGGCAGTTCATTTCCTCCCTGGTGCATCCAGGTTTACTGCAGCGCTGGAGATTAGAGTGAACCCTGTTAACATGGAGAGTTTTGGCTTAGTGGCCAAAATGAAAGGTCCTTTTCTCCTGGAAGCGAGAGCTGATGATGAAGGAGGCACCTGGCTCCCATTCAGCCCTATCAATGCATCTGAAAGAGGGGCTGCTAAAATCCTGTTTTGTTAGGGGCAGGATCGCTGGACAGGAGATGTCGTGAGGACATGTTATACACTTCAGGCCTAAACATGCAGCAAGGAGCTGGAAAAAGCCCTCTGAGTTGACTTCATAAAGCTAACACTTCAAAAGTTGTCATGACTGAATTTAAACACCAAGATTTACCTTTTGCAAATGACCCTGGCCACTGTCCTAGCAGCTGCTCTTCCAGATCCGGAGGTCATGGAGGTAGTTGTGCATGTGTAGGGATAAGGGTTAATGGGGAACAAGTTCAGCTGTGCTTGGTGTGCATCATGGGATGGTTCTTGCCCTTCCAAGACGCAGGTTCAACAGTCTTTTCTCCTCCCTGGTAAAAGGACTCAGCCTCCTGTAAAATCCATAAACTTCCTGGCTTAAATCACTAAAACTGGTGACTCTCTGCCCTGCTGGGAGTCCTAGCCCACTTCCTAGCAAGCAGGCCTTGCTAGGAACACAGAGCTGCTTGGTGTTTTGAGGTTTCCATTGACTGAAGACTGGCTGTTTTATGTTAAGTTTATTAGAAAGCAGAGGCATCTTGTCCGGTGGACTTTGCACCTTTCTTGGCATGATGTCAGGTGCTGAGGTTGTATCTACAGTCGTTAAAGATTTAATTGGCAGACAGGAGAGGGAAATACTGTCCAGATGCAGCAAACCTCTGGGGAACACGCCTGGGGAACCACAGTCCCTAGATGCTCCCAGGGAATGGGAATGTGTTGAACATTGCTTTCCATTGCCACCTCTTTTCACGCTTTATGGCAGGACAAAGTTCACAGCTGCATTAGCAAAGTTAACAGGAGAATTGGCAGCAGAGATTTTATAATGCTTTTCAAGCCAGAAAGAACTTGGGTGTTACAGAGGTGCCTCTCCAAAGGCCTGAGAGAAAGTAAATCTGCCCTGGCTTGCAGGAGGCTCAGTGTTTGCAATGTTGCCTCTGGATTTGTTACTGTGCTTTGATTTAGTTGGCTTGTGCTGCTGGTACCCAGAGGTGTTGACTATGATAAGGTTTTTGTTGCACAAGTCTCTCGCTTGAATTGCTTCTGGTTCTGCTTAAGGGGAAAAAACAACAGCAAAGCAGAAACAGGAGCAAGCCAGAGGTCCCCCTCTCTCTCTCCCTTTCTCTTCCCTCTCTGGTAACATATAACAGGAGACAAAACTGCTGCATTTGACAGTGATTTGCAGGATGTTTACAACCACTGTTCCTCCTTCCATCTAGGATATCCATGTCAGCTTGGCAGCTTTTGTGAACTGACTGACAGTATTTGATTGTCCTGGAACCCAGAGACACCAGAAGAGACTATAAAAATTGATCTAAATCTGACAAGGCTCCATAACCTACACTGGATGATTAAAGGTTTGAGTGCTTCCAGATTTTAAATCAAGAAAAAGAAAGAATTAAAAAGGGGTAAATATTTGATTAAAGATCCAACAGTAAGCCACTTGAAAAGGTAGATATCTGTTTGCAATAGGCTTTGTTCTACATAGTTGTTGAAAAAGTGTTTGGGAGGCCTGAACATGAGCAAGGTTAGACTGGTGTCCACAAGCAGTGTCTGTCTCTGAGATGTACAGGACTAAAAGGAGAGGGGGTGACGAGGTGGCAGGATGGTCATGGTGGGGCTGCCTTTTGCCAGTGTCCCATGGTGAATGTGGCGATGACATGGTGGCAGGTGTAGGACTCAAACAGCAAATGATGGAGCACTTCACTGCTTGCTTGCTCTGCTCGGTGCCTTGGGTCTGTGCCCTGTCTTTCCTGTCACATTATCCTGCTCAGCCCCGGCCTTTCCTGCGCCATGGATTAACAGGGTGCCTCAAGGACTGCCCTGCTGCAAGGGGAATTGTTGCTGTCCCACATCCTGTTGACACCAGTCTCTGCTCCTTCTTGAGCCTGACCAAGCAACCTTATCTGACAGCCACAAAGCTTCGACAAACAACGGCTGGTATTTCCTTGTTCATCTCTGCTACTGAAGTTGCAGCGGTTTCGTCATGCTCTGTTCCACTGTGATTAAGAGGGAATTGTGTTCTGGGAGATCAAGGCCACGGCGGTAGGATGACAAATACTGAAGTGCTTCATCATCTGCTGTTTGAACATTCATGTTCAACACTGAAGGGACATGAGGAAGGAGACGGCGGGGGTTCCTTGCACGCACAGATCTGGGGCCAGATATTTGCAGCTTCCAGAGCTTGTGGCTCAAGATGCAGGGGAAAAAGCGAGCAGCTCCAGAGAGGACTTAGCGCTGCCTCAGAATGGCAGAAGTTTCCTATTTTGCTTTTGTTTTGAAAGAAATTGTTGGACTAAAGAAGAGAGAAAAGGGGCTACAGCCAAGTTTTATCTTGTGTCTGTAAGTGAAGGGATTTATCCTGAGCTTCCAGGTTGTGGCTGTCTCTGGCCATTCAGCAGCATCTGGCTGATGAGCTCAGGCTGCTCAGCACCTTGCAGACTGCTTCAGTGGCAGTTGGGGGCCTCCTCTTACCTCTTGTGGTTCATCAGCAGCTCCCTGTGCAGCTCCTGGTGACTCTTTGAGGCTTTTACAGGATTTAGGAGCTTTTTAGGCTTGATAAGATCTGGGTTTCCATCTATGTAGTCTGGGTGAGTCAGGATATTCCCAGGGTCTGGTCGTTCTCTCTGTATTTCAGTGTACATTGATGCTGAAAGAAAAGAGAGGTGTTTGCATGAGAAGTCTCAGTGTGCTGGAGCACAGGAGCCAACTAGAGCTCTTTTCTCCTGCCAAACAGGAGGAAAAGAGATGGTGCCTGCCCCTCTTGTCAGCGTAAGGCTTTGCTGATACCCGACTGGGCTAATATTCAGGATCCAGCCCGGTGCCAAGGAAAGCATAATTCACACATGCGGGATATGATCATGCTGTAATAATTGTGAATGTTCTGGATGTGAGAACAAAGCTCTGCTCCTTCTCAAGTGCTGGCAGCTTGGATTTGAGGCAAACCACAAGGCTGTTGATTTTTTCTAAGTACTCTCAATTTCTCCATTACAAAAGAACCTATACAAAGTGAGTGCAAGGTACGTATTACAAGACAAGAAACACACAGTGATCTGTGTCTTTAAGTGTAAAGTGCAGTTGGGCAGACTGTAATTATGCTGGTGTACAGTCTAATCGGGGGCCTAGAGAGAGCAATTCATTCCCAACTACTCACTTGAAAAATTTGGAAGTTTACCAGTCCGCACAAAAAGTCCCAGGAATAGAGTGTAGGCAGCTCCACATCTGTAAATGTCTCACCATTATAATATTTTGAGAAGCCTAGTGTGAAGTTATATGGGTTGGTGGTGCAGGAAGGGAAATTGTTGTTTGGTAATTTTGCCTCTTATTGTAGTCTCATGTATAAAAAGAATAAGACCCTGTTAAAAAGAGAAATCAACAGGTAAAGCACGAGAAAGCAGGTAAGGGTCAGTCTTTCTTAGTAAGTACTTTCTCAAGGTAAAGTGGGTTGCAATCAAACAGAATTGTGTAAGAATTAATGCTGAAGAAACGATTCAACTTCTTATTCAGTGTTAATGTGGCCGGTGCCCTACTGCTTTGGGAACAAAGAGGAACAAAGCGGAGCCCGTTTCAGGATTGTAACTGGGGTGAATCCAGTAACTATTTAAAGGGCTCTTTGGAAGCTGGAAACAGTGATTTATTATATCAAATTATTTTCCTCTAGGATTATGCATCACTGTTGGCCATGAAACATCGAAACGAGTGCAGGCCGGGGCTCAGCGGTGCCTTCTGGAGAGGCGTGCAGTGAAGAACAGCCAGGGGTTAACAAAGCACAACTGTTTTGGACAACTTTTGTTACATGAAAACCGGTTTTCAAGCAGTGAGAAAACACAACGGGTTTTCACCAAGGTAAAATTGCTTTAGTTTTTTTTAATCGTACTTCCTCACTCTTTTGGGGATAGACAGAGGATAGACAAGAAAGGGAGGTGTAAAACAGAGGTTCATCTGGGTGGGAATGAAATGAATGACCTCCCATTTCAAGTGGCAAAGCAATGTCTTCCTTTACTCCTCAAATAAGAGAGCTTCTCCCTGGAGTAACGTTGACAAATAACAGATCTTTTAAATTGAATTGTCATTTCTGAACAGTGGTACTAAAAGACTGGACTTAGTGTCACCATGGCATCCTGTTGCCCTTTTCTTTCAGTCCCCCTTTGCCATCATTTAGAAAAGGGCTAGCCTCTCCTGCAGCAGAGAGCCTCCTGCATTTGGTTTGTGTGATGGCACAAATCCCATCACACTGGGTATGGGTCATTTTGGAGGGAAAGCAGCCAGGGAGCCAGGAGCTCCAGTGGGGTCAAGTCCAGGGGATTTTAGTAGCCTAATGTGGTTATTTCCAGTCTGAAGCAATCCAGCATCGCATGACCAAGGCTTGGGAAATAGAAGCAATTTATCAGCCTATTTACTGAAGTAAATGTGCTAGCTTTCCCCCTGAAGCTAGCACAAATGCCCCAAATGCTGGGAAGGAAGGAGTGGGAGGAACTGAAATATGCTGGGAACATTTCTGGCCAGGTGGCTGTTAGCTCAGCATGCCCAAGAACTCACGATGACTGTAATTTACCCGAGCAGGACCCAGCAGGTAGCTCTGGGCTTGGTTTTCACTGCGCCAGGACTGTCCAGAGCGTGCAGATGCCATCAGTGAGGGTTTGGCTTGCAGTGGATATCGTCACTGCCACCCGCCAGGTCAAGCGGTACCTGAGCTGCTGCCCTGGTCCACGCACTGTCCTTGTCCCAGAAAACGACTGGGAAGCTATGCAAAGAGTGTTTTATATCTTCAGAAAACCTTAATCTGGCACAATTCAAGAAATACCTTCATTGCACAGAAAGAAAAATGGGACTTAAAAAGAGCATTAGTGCTCCTGAAACACAGCTTGGGGTTATGCTGGAAGTAAGGACGGGGCATCCTTTCTCCTGCAGTTTGGCAGATAGAGACCCAGTGCAAAATGTTTCTAGTGGAGCAGATCTATCATCTTCAAGATCTGATGTAATTCATACCCATGTACGAGGAGACAGACTGCTATCAGGCTGCTTTTTGTCATTATTTATAGTGCTGGAGGTGTAAATCAAGCCAGGTCTCTGCGATGGATTTACAGCAGGATGCCTGGTTTTGCATGATGCAGCTGTAGATCAAAGAACAAGGCTTTGCTCTGGCACTTCCTTGGTCACCGTCGTAAATCAGCAAAAGGTAGTAGACATTTTTATATCATTCTTGGCAAGATATAAACAAAAAATACATGTGCATTTTAACACCCTCCCTGTGCTCGCAAAGGCAGTGTGACCTTTCAAATAGAAGTGGTTTCGCACCGCTGTTTTAAAGGCAGTTGTGTTTGCTTTGACATATGCAGTCTGTTGTTTGCTTTTAAAATACTTTCCATTTCCTCGTTTCTAAAAGAGTGAGGCTTTCCAAGAAAGGGACATTTCTGAGTGACTTTTCTACACATACAAAGCAAGGCCACATGAATGAGCAGGTCAAGGCCACAAGTACTGGGAGACCTTTGCTCTTCACACCCAGCTTGACCCCTCGCTCAAGTGAAATGAGTTCCCAACCTTGTTCTGTTTTCTAGGAGACCCCTGGGAAATATTTGCATTTGTCCCTTTTCCCAGGTCCACCCCAGAGTGTAGAAGAAGGAAAAAAATGACTTTTAAAAATCTTCTGATCTAAACTGAAGCCCAAAATCCTGCTCAGACATCCCGGAAACGCTTACACGTCTGGTGTCAGTTTGCGGCACTTGTGATAAAATCATGGGGCTGCAGTCTTGGCTAAAACCATTTCCACTTCCAATTACACTTAGTCCCCATCTCTTGAGTGACAATACTGGGCAATTTTGGTGAGACATTAAGCATCTTGAAAAACCTAAGTGTAGTAAATAGCAATAATTAGATAACAGATAACAATAGTTAAAATATACCCTGCTAGGAGTCTAACATGTGGTGTGAGCTGGGGATGCTGAGTGCCAGGGATGCTGAGTGGCTTTTGTGCAGCCCTGGGCAAGGGCAGTTTTAGTTTCCTAAACCCTAAACAGACCCGTGGGGCCTGTCAGGCCCCTGCCCGGGATCAGGCACCCGAGATGGGGGCTCAGCTGGGTTTCCCTTTGCTGCTGTTTTTTGGATCATCCCTGATGCAGTTTCCCTTGCTGAGAAGAGACACGCTCCACAGAGCATTTATTTAGGGTTCATCGCCTTGTCTCTATGCAGTGGGCTGCCCTCGAGTCCCTCTGTGCACGGGGCAGGACTGCTGCTGCTCTCTGTGCTCCGCTCTCAGCTGCCTCCGGTTTCCCTGTTCGCTGTCCTGTCAGGATGAAAATAATCCCCAGGAATGTTAAGGGGATTAGCAGCCTTGGAAGGGGCAGGTAGCCTGAGGGGTCTGGTTGCAGCTGGCTGCCTGATTCCAGCAGCTCTTCACAGGAGCAGGGGAAAGAAAAGAGACTGAAAAGAAAATTGATCCAGAGCTGTCATGTTTAAAAAGCCTTAGGGCAGCTCTCTGGGCTCCTGCCCAGCACCTGGGGATTTGCAGTGTTTCAGGAGAACGGAGGCCCTAGCAGGAGGCCCGAGTTTAGCCCCTTTTTGCAGATTTTTGTGTGAAATTCCTTCCCAGACGTCTCTCTTCTGCAGTTCCCCTGCCCATGGGATCCCAGGACCTTGAACGCAGCTTTGGGATGAGCCTGCACAGTGGGCAGCAAGCACCTCTCCTTCCCCTCGACCTCTGCTTTGCTGAAGCACCGCGAAACTCTCCCCGCTCATCATCCTTCCCCCGTGCCAGGCTCTCCGTCCCCTCGCGCGTCCTATGACCCAGCTGCAAACCGAGTTTCTCCGTGTTCAGCAGTGCTCTGAGGCAGTGCAATGCTGTATGACTGGTTTTTAGGAGGTTTAACCTGCAAGGCCACTGATGTTATCCTCTGCAGCACAGGTTGGTGTTTAATTTTAGCTGGAATCTATCAAACAAATATTGTTTGCCCTCCTTCACTTGTGTTGTCTGTACTGCTTGAGCACTGATTTTTGGACCAGACTGTCTAGGGAGAGGTTTTCAGTCTGGGTAAATAGCTAGAAAAGGACCCAAACTGCCCTTTCTCAAGTGTTTTATGGAATCCTTTTCTGGGCAGAGAATGAGCCTCTACAAAATGTCAACAGCAATAAAATAGGCAAAAGGCATTATTCTGGGAAGGGAAACCCGGGTCAGATGGTATCGTGTTCGTTATTTTGTGAGACCCTGTTATTTGGTAGGAAAGACGAGACTGCTCCAAACAGGCCAGCTTAGATCAAGTTTTTTAGGCCTTGTCCAGCTGAGTGCTGCGCATTCCTTGTGATGAGGGGCAGCAATTATTGTAGTGCATGTTTTAATGCAAGAGGAACATAGTGGAAACACTCAGACTGTTGTGCACCTTGGCATCCCGTACACAAACCACACAGTGACCCGCGAGAGGCAGTGCATGATCCATAGGAGACCTCCTGAGCTTTAAACTGGCAGTCTTGCACATCTCAATTCCAAAACATCCCTGTGTGTCCTACACACGTGGCCTTTCTTGGGCCTTTAGAGGAGCTTGTGTGACGTCTCAGTCATATCCACCAAGCTGGTGCCTTGGCTGGTGGAAGCTTTGACGGGGTGAAGTGTCAGAAAAAAGCACTTGTTTGACTCCTGTTCCAAAATCACAACTTAATGAAAGGAAGTATTAATTTGTTATAAGTCTA